TCTACTTAAAAAAACAAAACAAAACAAAAACCTCGTCTGAGACTTCAGTTTGACATGAAAGGCAAAACGATTGAAGTTCTCTGATTTTTTTTTTTTTTTTTATTTACTCACCCTCAAGCTATTCCAAACCTGTGTGAGTGTCTTCTGTTGAACACAAAAGATGATATTTTGAAGAATTTTGGTAACCAAAGAGTTGCTGGAAGCCATTAACTTCCATAGTATGGATAAAATACAATGGAAGTCAATGGCTACCAGCATTTGGTTACCAACATGCTTCAAAATATCATCTTTTGTGTTCAACAGAAGAAAAATTAATATAGGTTTGGAACAACATGTCTCTGTTTGTTTGGAAATCATGTCTCATAGGATTTTTCTGAGCCCTCGGTAGTGAAGGAGGTCTCAATTTCTCTGGTGAGGATGAAAGCACAATCTTTGGTAGGTCCAGAAGAAACCTCACACATGAATATGAGCTAGTGCCACAGTGCTGCTTATGGTGTCATATTAAAGGCAGAACCAAAGGATCCCAAACCCTCAAAGCGCTCCTCTATGTCTGCGACTGACTGGTCAGAATCACTAAAACGTCACAACTCTCCTTACCAGTCAACTGTATCTGGTTTACATAGCGCCACTCCCATTGACAAGGTGCCAACCTTCTATAAACCTTCCATGTCTTTCAACTTGAGAATGAAAACGTCATGTTTAATGGAGTCGGTAATTGTTTTTTGTCACTCTTCTCTGTAGTTTGATGAGAATGCCGCTGAAATCACTTCTCCTCCAGTTCGAGTATCCAATCGAGAGCCGCTAGTTTCCCTGCTTAACACTGCTTGTGTTGAGGTGATGATACACATGCGTCCATCTTTAGTGATTGTTTTTAGCTCTAAATCACCATTTTGTACTTCTGTCCATCTAGTTGGCCTAAAAATGCATATTTGTGCAACATAAAGGATCTTAATTGAAATGTTCATGATCTCAGGTGGATGGCCAGGGTATGCAGGACATGCTGAGCTGTAGATCTGCAAACCATGCTCCTGTGGTATGTCTCGCGGCAATCCATACCTGTTTGAAACATTCATTTTAGTAGCTCATGAGGTTCTGTTTCTTCTCTGAAGGCGCAGGACGTCAAATATGTCACTGTATCGAAGCTTTCAAAGCCTCAATTGAGTCCAACCAAACCTTCCAAACCCTTGATAGACATGGTGAGCCGTCTTTCACCTTCCTGTGATGGCCAAAGAGAGGTTTTCCCATCACACTCAATTTCTTTTAGGGATTCTGCATCCCGTACGGCTTCAGAGGACTCTCTTCCTGTCTCGTATGACATTTCCCAGGTTTGCAGTTGATTCATTGTTGGATATTTGTTTTGGACATGGTAATAGGTTACAATGCAATTGTAATTTACGTTGTTGGTTTATCAGGAGAGCTTTGGCTCACCAAAGACTGAGTCCAAGACTAGACGGTCCAAAATCACCTCTTTCTTTTACCAAATCACTTCTGTCCGAGGATTTGATAGCAGCCAGACGGAGACGCCAAAGTCAGCAACGGTAATTTCATGAGCTGTATGGGGTTTGGCTCCACAGGTGTGTAAAGGTGATGAGGAAATGTGGGATTCAAGAGTCACTTAGATTAAGCACGACTGTGGTGCTATATAACACCTTTCTTTATTTTGTTTTTAAAGTGAAAGCTGTCAAAATGGATTTTCAATATCGCAACACTTTTGGTGGTGCTATACCCTGCCCCAGTGTTCACGTCTTTGTGGCTCTGTCTTTGTGCGCAGGTTGAAAAGGTGTCGGCTATTGATCAGACCCCGAGGACGGTAGAGAGAGATGTGCTTAAAGAGATCTTTCCCACTGAAAACCTCAACACCCCTACTGGAATCAGGTATGGAGGAAAGAGGTTTCTAGCATTCACACTGATCAAACACCGGAGCCTTATGTATTAGGGTCGAACACTAATAAGGGTGTCCAAGTCTTTAAAATCTGGTTTAAAACGCCCCCTAAAAAGCTATACAATTTTAAAGAAACAATACATTTGATTATAAAGTATCAAATGGTGAAACAAAGTAAAAAGTAATAACCTATTCTCCTTAGACCTTGAATATATGTGAGTGTACAATTAATAAATAATCTCAATCATTATTTTGCTAAATGTATTTAAGGTAAAAAGTTTTATTTTTCATTATTATTATTATTTATACAAATATAATTTGATTAATAAATATCATTAGGATTTTTGGAGTCACTCCACATGACTTTTTATTTTATTACATTTAACCCAAACCAAACTGATATTCTGAAATATCAATATAATTTTATATTTTGAGAGATTTTTTTTTTGTCTGCCTATTCACCACATCACATGACTTCCATTTGGTGGATGCATGTTTTTCAGATATTTGCAAATTTTATATATATATAAAAAAAATTAATAATAATAAACAACTTAGTTTCTTTTCAGACAGTTGTATCACCCTGACTTTTTTTAGTTTGTCTCCCAATAAATATCAAAAGTATTAACATACTTATCATAAAAGAGGTTTATTCAAGTGATTGTAGGCATTGGTTGCTTTTTTCAAAATAAAATAATTCTGAACAAAATGAGTGTTATGAAAATATATACACACAAACAACAGATAAGTTCCAATAAAAGATAAGTAGCAAAAGATTGCAAATAAACATGGAACTATAAATGTATTTTTTTTTTCAAACATACGTAAAATGGACAAAGTAAAATAATTTTTGTAAAAGTGTCTTGTTTATATCAAAACATCTTCTAAAACAAGGTACATTTCCTTGAAGCAAAATGTTTCAAAATATTAAGACTTATTTTCAGAGAATCCATCTTAAATTTAAGTTTATTTTTCAAATGTATTTTTAGTGCCACCTGTCGCCGACCAATCAGAGGAGCAGCTGGCTGGCCCCTGGTCGGCGACACATGGCTGGACGAATCCCGTCTCCGTCTTAAGGAGCTCAGAGAAACCAGCTCCTCCTCCACCTACACAGAGACCCGATCCGTTCCACGTGTGGCCGCCGCCGTCCCTCTAACCGCTTCCAAGCCTGCGGCGCCCCCTGCTGTGAAGAGCAGAGCGCGGCGCAGCCTGCCAGTGTGGGTGCAGCTTCTGCTGCTCAGTGCGGTCGCTGGATTCCTGTTCTTTGTCTACCAGGCCATGGAGACTGATGAGGTTGGACTCTTCAAGCAGAGCGGAGCAGATGATCGCACCAGCAAATGAATGTCATGCGGATCGCCCCACTCTTTGCCCTCTTTATCGTACTCAGCCAGTGCATCTCTTTGTTGACTAAGCAGCCGTGGACTTTTACCTGTGATCTTTATAGATTCATACAAAGACAAACCCAGAGCTTTTGCATCATATGTCTGCTCATGCTCTCTTCCAAATGAACCGGTTTAGAGGAATAAAACCTGGTTATGGTTTTAAAACGGTGACTTTTCTTGCCTTTGTATGTTGAGTGAATGTGTTTGTTTTTTTGTTTTTTTTCATTTGTACTTTATTTTACAGAATAATGTTGGTGCTGTCTATGAATGGGAGTCTGAGTTGAAGTGCTGAAGGAGTTGGCTAAATACACTTGTTTTGTTTGTAAACTACATTTAGCGTCTACTTGTGACAATATTTTTGCATTTATTTTCACATGTAGCGTCTATCCATCTTAACATTGATGCCCCTTGTAGTATTTATGTATGTTGTTGAAATACAAATATTTTCAATAAACTGTTTTGCAATGTAAGGTCATTTAATATTTTTTTTTTATCATCATTTTTAATCACTTAACTTTTATTAATTCGAGATCTTGGAGTTGCAAGTAATTTTATAAAATGTCAATCAATTTGCATTAACATTAATTGAGAGTTTGCAAGAAGAACTAGACTGTAGTTCAAAAAAAAAATATTTTGAAAAATGTTTTCTCAGTTTTGGAAAATGTATTCTGTAAATCGTCAATATAAAATTTTAAATGTCTTTTTAAAACAAAAATTTGGGTTAATAAACATTGCAAGATCTTTATACTTGTTACATTAGTAGAACTGGACAATGAGTCAAACGCCTGCCATTATGCCCTTTACTCTGCTTTTAAGACTGATACATTTACAAATCAGTATTCTGAACATGTATTTATTTTACATTACAAGGTGCTGTGGATTTGTGAGGTAAAGCTTGGAAGGTTCAGGTACTTTTTATGTATATGACAGAATATGGTTTAATAAAGCGGTTTACCTCCTTATCATTTTCATTTTGGTTTATTTTTATGTGTCTATATGTTTAACCTAAATCTTAATTGTGTTGTCTAAAGGGTGAGAGAACGGGTTTACTGCACTACATTGCAGCTCTTCACAGAGACACTGGAAAGTCTGACCTCACTTTGATCTGGTATAGGTAAGGAGGATATAACTGTGCACGGCCCTGTGCTCTGATCCAGGAATCGAGTTTAATCGCCTTATAGCAGCCTCTACTGTGCGTAATAAGCTCACACAGGCTACCATGAGCTCAGGTTTGCAGTGAGACTCAACCATCAGTTGCTACAATTTAGTTGGACACACATTTGCACCAATAACTCAATACACCGAGTGGTGTAACTGATAAATTGGTGTGTGTGTGTTTTTTTTTTATGAATGCTAGTGTGGCCTATGGAACGATATTCCGGACAATTTTCAAATAGAATAGCAAATTGTATTTTCAATTGCGTTTTCCATATGTGGACGCATAAATTGTGACATAATCCAAATGCAATTGCAAATAATTAATATTGCTATTTAAATATGACTGGCTCGTAACTCCTAAGACATGGGAAATACAGTTGCAAATGGACTTTGCTTTTTCATTTGAAATTTGGCAGTCACTGTGCGTTCGCGAAAGCGAAAATGCAAACGGTAATGCAGGATTTGCAATTGCATTTGGATTATGTCACAATTTATGCGTCCACATATGGAAAACGCAATTGAAAATACAATTTGCTATTCTATTTGAAAATTGTCCGGAATATCGTTCCATAGTGGCCCATAATTCCTCGTTCAAATGGATTGGTGTTCGCTCAGTGCGATGACGTCACAGAAGGTCACTGAGGTCATCTGATGTCTTGGATTCGCCTGCCGCTGATGCACCCAGGAGGCGCCGTTTCTTTACAACCGTCAAGTGAGTGCACTACTTCTTTCAATATGAATTTCTGAAAAACTTGAATGAGAGAGACATACTGTTTCTCAGCAATGTACTTCTGTTTGATTTGAATTGTCACCTGTCTGTTTTCCCAATGAACCTACTGCATACACACGCACCAAACAATTAACTAGGAAATAACTTTAACATCAAATAAATAAACAGAGAACTTTGAAAATAGGCTAGATATAATTTTAACAAATTAAATACAAAACGAAAAAATAAAATAAATAGAATGCTTAAATATCTCACAGATTTCACATTCACAATAGCTTGCTTAACAGGCTATTGCAAAAAATAAAATAAATAATACTAAAAAAAAATAACGTAGACTACTAAACAAACAAATGAATTTGATCACTGGGCCTTGCTTTGCTTACTCCATATTACTATGAAGGAAAAGTATATTGCTGACTGACTGCGGTCCCAGACTTGAGCATCTCTCACATCAAATGTACCATATTTAGCGGCTACGTTAACAAAGTGCTGAACTATGTCAACAAAGCCTTTCCCGGCAACGAAGTCATATGGTCTAATGTCTTTACAGCAAAGTGCGACACATTTTTCTGTAGTTTCTTGCTTAACGTGAGCAGGAAGTGCTTTATGGGGGAACGAGAGCTTGCTTTGACCACAGAGAACTGTGCAGATATGTCGCATCAGACCAGAGGTGCCAGATTTGTCCGTTGTAGCCTAAACGAACACTTTTGCACATTTATCGCAACTTACGAAGTTTAACTCTTTCCCGTGTTTTTCAGTGACAATTGAGAATTGTTTCCAGATGTCTGACTTGCCTTGCTTTGCTTTTGTCAAGTAAACAGACGCTTTAATTTTCTTCTCAACTTCTTGTGTTTACTCCATTTCTACTACACGCCAAATCCCGCCGTCCCCCGCGGGTCTCCCGCGAAATTTTCTGACCGCCCACTCCCGCCCGCAGCAAATGTAAAACCGCCCGCTCCCGCGAGATTTGCGTTGGGCCCCGCGGGTCCCGCGGGAGCCCAAACCCAATGCAGCCCTCTAATGTAAACTGTAGCATTTGCAATTTATGTCAAAAGACTTCCCTGTGGTAGATTGATTGATTGATTTATGTTTAGCAAAATGTACTTGTTTTTATAATTAAACATTGAGATATATATTTTTTAAAAATAAGTAAAACATACTGAATCAATTTTGCCCTCAAAAAAACAGAAAGCTATTCAGATTGTTTAGGCATGTATCTCAAGCATGTCTTTGTATAATATTGTTAATTCCCCCATCAGATTGATAGATTGATTGATTGATTTTATTTGTTAAAAAACTGTTTATACATGGTTATTGTTATTATATTGCTCATAAATTGCTCATAAAAAAAAATTAGACCTTGAAGCACCATTTCACTGAGGTTGCAGAGGGATGTAATACACTTTATTACCAAAAGAGGAGGCTGTTGTTCCTGGACTTATTCCCATTAGATCAGCTCAGTATCATAGGGATCTCATTAGAAATTCAAAATGACCCATTCATTTTGTTCTTTTATCTCGGATGATTAATTATTGGCATGTTTAAATGTCATGAGATCTAAAGGGTAGATTAGCACCGCTTAGTAACAGGTCTATATGTGTGTAATGTATGTTCATATGAGCAATGTTTTTCCCACAGGCCTGTGGAAGGGTCTTTTTGCTCGAATCATTATGATTGGCACACTGACCGCTCTACAGTGGTTCATCTACGACTCAGTGAAGGTGTACTTCCGTCTGCCCCGTCCACCACCCCCTGAGATGCCCGAGTCCCTTAAGAGGAAGATGGGTCTCCTGGACTACTAGACTCCTTTCTTATCAACAGTATCCTGAATAACTAAAGAAAGGCGAAGATTTTTCCACATTCACCACTTGCAATAAACTCCACAGTCGCTGGAGTGTTTATCATTGATGAAAGCACTATTGAATGATCACTAGATTCTCCCAGTGTCCCTGTATGTCTGTATGAATATTAGAGTAAAATCAATCACACACTAAACATCTGTTGATTTTTATGTGACTCATGTGTGTTTTGTCAAACTGTTTTGCTCTCAATATGTAACTAAAACCACAAAGACTATTGTATCATTCTTCTGGAAATAGAATTTTGAAAATTTAAAAAGTGTTTTGTCATTATGTGTAGAATTATAAAAATTTTCTATAATTAGGTAATATTGGTATGCACATATTTTAGATATGGTTTAAATATATAGGCTTATTTTTATACAATAGAACAGGGTTTAAGTGTTTAAAAAGTTTTTGTTAATTGAAATAAAGCTGAAGTAAAATAATGTTAGATGAAAAACTCAAAAATTAAAAATTAAAGCACCTACCTGAAATAAAATACTAGTTTAAGTTGAAATATTAGAATTACTGAAACTAAATAAAAACTTAGGCTAAATGGAAATATTAAAAATACTAATAAAAGCAACAAAAGCATGTGAAAATTTTAACTAAACTGAAAATGAAAACTAGAATATAAATGATTATATTATAAAAGCTAATTCAAAACATTAATAAACACTATAATAGTATATACATAATGCTAATGCCAAGATCAATTAAATAAAACTATAATTAAAAAACAAAATTAGAATGAAATAAAACAATTACATGATCTTTAAAAAATATGGAATGTTAATTTTTTTTAAATCAAATTACATGAGAAGCTGTTATGACATTCATATTTTCTGAAAGGTTAGCATTACGTCAAGTAAACATTTGAGGTCATTCTGGTTCTGCTAACAAAGGGCAAACAAGATGGAAACTCCTGAATACACTTTTAATTAGTTTAATTTATGAATGTTTTCTAGCATTTTTCAGTCACATTCAGAGATAGCTTTGAGTGGCCTGTAGGACTGATGAACAGATCCCGTCTCATTGTGATGTCACAATGCCCTCGCGTTCTCTCTCCTCTTCTATTCTCATCAGCTTGATGTAAGCAACAGGAAAATAGTGACCCGCGACCTCAATACAGCTCTCAAAGAGAGATCCTATCAGAGGAACACCAAGCAGAGAGGGCTCATTCACTTCGCAGAGTGTGTCTACATTTGGGGCTTCTTTGTGAGAGTGTATGAGTTTTTGAGAGGGAGGGATGGGGATAGTCTGTGTTTGTGTGCTCTATTGTTGTCATTATATCCCATTTGGTTTGTCTTGTTAATGTGGTTTGCAGTGAAGTTGAATTCTGAGAAATGAATGCTCTCTGATTTGCTTCCTAGGCCGCTGATGCTGAGGGTCAAAGGTCACGGGGTTCCGAGTTGCATTTCCCTGTAACCTTTTCGCCACAAATGCATTCACACTGTAATGGCTCCACATGCACCTTCACCTCCGTAGTGAGTAATGCAGCATCAAGCCATCAGAAGTGTGTTATAAGCACATGATTTCACTGTGCTTTTGGTAAATAAATCATACAAACTAGAATGAATAAATGAATCAAAACCCACCTGAATGCAAAATACTGCTAGTCCAGCTGGCTATCTTTAGTAAACACATGTGCATAGAGGGTTCAAGCAGCTGTTTGTGAAGCTCATGTGATCACGAGCAATGAAATTACACCAGTTAGATTTGACTTTGTTAGATTTGAGTTTGTCATAGCTTGAAAAACTGAAAAGCAGCAGCGTTTAGATGAAACGTTTAAGCTTAATTATTTGACAAAATAATGATTTGGTACTGTTTGTATACATTTATGGTAACACTTCACAATAAGGTTCCGTTTTTCAACTATATGTAATGTATTAACTAGTATTAACTAACATTGAGCAGTACATTTGTTTCCATATTTATTAATTGTTGTTAATGTTAGTTTATTAAAAAATGCAACTGTTCATTGTTAGTCCATGTTAGCTCATGTCCATTACATGGGTAACATTAATAGATACAATGTTTAATTTTCTAATAATGTACTAGTAAATGTACCAGGTAATAAATGGAACCTTACTGTAAAGTGTTACCACATTTATAATACTTTGTAAGGCAATAAAGGCAGAACATTTAGGCCAAAAGAAGCAATCAAAACCTGAACAGCTTCACCAGCAAATACCATCCTCTATGTATTTGTGCATGTGAGTGTGAGCTAATGTGTCTGTCTCTCTATTGTCACAACCCTTGTCTCATAAAGGTCAGTTTGAAATAGTATGCAGTCCTCTCGCCAGATCACATGGGTTCATTAATAACCAAAGGATTGGCAGCCGCTGTAATATTCCATGAGAGGGATTGAAGAGCCTAGGCACTGGAAAGTGAATTACAGGTCTTATTAGTTTAATGAAGAAGAATGTATATATATATACATTCTTTAACCTATATAAAACTGATATATCAATGTTTCATTGTTGCCAACTCATAGTCAAGACCTTGCTATGGAAGAAATCCTATACATAGCTTTTCTCTCTCTCTCTCTCTCTCTCTCTGCTAATAAGCAGGCCAGAGATTGGCTACTGTTTTAATGGGTGGTGGGTTTGTGCACACTGATCGGTGGGAATAAATGAGGTGAATTATAGCAATGAGGGACAAATCCATGATGTATAGTTATTGCACTGTTTAGACACTAAATACATTTATCAGCCATGGCAATAGATAAATATTTAACTTAAAATTTCTCAACTATCATCTGATAACTAATTTCAGTGAGTAACAACAGATGACAGGTTGTATTTGTACTTCGGTATTTACAAAATGCCATTTTTAGACTACAAAAATCTAAATTTAGCAGGATTGACACAATTTAGATAAACATCATGTGAGTCAAGCGTTCTTTGACAGCTTGATTGCCTTAAAGGCACACGAAAACACACGAATATTCCGTTTTTATTTACTCACCCTTATGTCATTCCAAACTGTAGGACTTACTTCATTCTGTGGGACACAAGATGTACATTTTTTAAATCACTCATTTTTAGTAAAACAAGTTTGGAACAACATGAGGGAGAGTAAATAATAGAATCTTAAGTTTCCTTGTTTTTATAGTGGCACTGTTGTAGTGGCTGCCAGGATGGCAAAACCTAGGGGGCACAAACGGTTATGTAATACACACAGCCTATTACACAATCTTTCCACAAAACCCAGCACTAACTAGACAGCAAGGTGTCCCATAATGCCCCCAAAACACACACAGCTCCTCGTCTTCTCTCTTGCTCTTTTCTTTTTCATCTTTCTCCATTTATTATATTTCAACAATGTTTTTCCCTTGTTTAATGTACACACCCATTCTTCCTTTTAAGCAAATAATGACAATGCCCTTTATGCTGCTCAAATGTCACTGAATGATGAATGCTCTTATTGGACAAGCCAGTGGGAGGAACAGGAGCCTCATTGGTCCCCATATTTAGGAGTTAAGAAAGTATTGTTTGATCATGAGTAGGCAAATGGCTGTGTTGCTGAGTTGCCATAGCACAAACATCGATTCTATCTATCTATCTATCTGGCTCCAAAATGAAATAAAGTTATTTGACACACTTATTTTATCATGCTGTTTTTGAGTTTTCAAAATTAGAGCATGTTTTGTTTTATTTCAACCATTGGTTTCTCATGATAGGTCTATGTCCACTTTACATAAAGTAGGCACGCATTTTTTTAATGTTTGAGTTACCACAAGTTTCACTTATTTTGTTGCAGGCATCTGGATGTGTTTACTAGGCAGCTAAAAACCTTTGCAGGTCATGGTTGCATAACACATAACCCAGCCATGCAGTCCCAGCAACTCCATTGGGCAACCAACATTACACATAATCAAATAAAAGCTCAATGCAATGTTTTCATTGTAACATTTAACTGAGCATTATGCTGACTGGAATACGATTCTAACAAGTGGAATATATTGCATTAATACAGATGTTATTAAGGTGCAAGGTCATTTTTATGATGACAATGAAATCCTTGACATAACTCTCCAAGGGGAAAGTGGGCCGGTCTGTCGTTCTCATATTCCTCATATGAGTAAGGGCGTCGCATGCACTTGTATCAGTAGGTCATACGCTCTCTGCGTAGCGCCGCACGCTCAAATCCTGCTCCTCCGCGAGTCACGCGCTCACGCACGCACGCTCTCTTTCACCGGTGCTCAGCGGCTCTCGTTGTCCTTCCTGCAGTTAAGGATACTTATTTAACATTCCTGCAACAAATGTAGGTATATGGTTTGAATGGCTGTTTTATTGTTTCGCATATGCCTCATCTAAATATATTCTCTCGATTAGCATTGTGTTAAACGAGCACCGTCGTCATGGTGCGATGGAAGCAGTGTCGTTGACATTGAAGAGTGGTGGATAAATGCGCGGTTTAATGATGATTGTTTCCGTGCAATCTCGAGATTTAACGTATTTAGTTGCATTAAACGTGAAGTAACAATCGTATTTCCATTCTAAATTGTTAGATGAACAGCCAAGGACGCATGTGCGGTGCATGCATGAACATGGAGGAATCCAGTGCACGCTGAAATTGAATTTGGCCTTGTTTAGGAAGAGCTGATGGAGGGAGGCCAAACTGCGAATGTATGATTAACTCGAGTCGCTTAAAAAGAGCAGATCGATTACCATCATGATTTACAATTTACTGTTTGTTTTCAAACGCAATCGCTGCATCTGAATTGTCAAGGACGTCATAAGGACGGTTGCGTCATAATAGGGTTTATGAGCGCCAACTTAACTTTTTTAATATTTTATTTTTCTGTTTTTAGAACCGTGCTAATTTCTGTTGTGTGCACAATGGCAACAAGCTATGTATAATTGCTATTGTATATAAAAGGAGTAAATATTTATTCTAATATACAGTATTTTTATTTTAGCTTTAAATAAAATTCGTAAATTTTCATATAAAGTTATTTTTTCTTATTGTTATAAAATATTTAAATGTTTTTAATATTTAATACACAGCACAATCATTTAATTATAACACAACAAATGTTTACATATAATTTAGTTTTGTTATAATTACATTATATCAGCTCAACGATATCAGCTATGACTATCGGCTCATAATAGGCTCTCCATTCATTCATTCACTAGTGAGTTATGTTAATTAGCAGCAGCGTTCCAAGATAAGGTTTGGAGATAAAAGCACGACCGATACGTTGTAATTAT